GGCCCGGGGAGAGTTTTTTGCCCCCTTCTGAGCTAGTTTTGCCGAATTGCTGTGGGGCTGGCTACTAAATCCCTTCAAGGCGAGGTAGACGCGTACTGGGTTTTCTTGTTACTATCGGGAAATTGGTTGTAGAGTGGTTATTTTACTCTGTTGTCCCCACTCTTTGGGTGAACCCAAAATATGTGTGATGAGGGGGTCAAGTTTCCATAGGAGGCTTTTTTAACCCCCATCCTTCAGCAGCAGTTTTGGGCTTGAGTTGTCAGCGATTGGATCTCATACCCCGGGGTTCTTGGGCTTTGGATTGGCACAATGGTAGTTCTTCCAAGCTGTGGGAGTGCCCCGGGCCCCTCCCGATTGGTTGAAGAGTCTAGTATGGCCTCCCATCCACTCTGACCAGCCCCTGCAATCAGGAGTGGTGACACCCTCAATGCCCGGGGGGAGTGTCACCTGAATTCTTAATGGAGTCGGAGTTCCCAAATCCGTGAGGCCTTATCAGTTAATCTTCAGATCGCTACGCTTGTATCGTTAACTAGCGTTGTGTATTTCCCGGGTGTCCTCTTGGGGCTGAGTGGGGGGCGTCCCCGGAAGTGAAGGCTCCCCCTGTTTCTCGCTTCCCGGGATGGGTTCGGGTGTGTGGGGCTCGGCTTGCTTTTCCAGTTGGATGTTAAGCTTGCCTTATATTTTTAGATAAGGTGGTGTAATGCCGAAAGTTGGGCCACTCCCGCCCCTTTTTATTTTTTTCTTGAGAGAGAGACGCGGGCAGCTGCACCGTGGTTAGACCGCTTCGTGGGTAAGTGTATAGCTTCCTAAAAGAGTTGATGCGGTGGTTTGTCCCCCACCGTGTTGTAGAAACCCCCCGTCTTTTTGTGAGTGCTCTGCGGACTTTTGGGAATTTCGCACTCTGCCGCATGGATGAGAAAAAAAATTTGCTCCTGTTCAGCCGTATCAGAGTCTTCGGATAGAGTGTATGTGGACCACCAGTCATGAAGATAATCCTGGAACACCTTCAGTTGGCCCTCTTTATGTCCCATCTAGGAGGCACCACAGCTGTGGGGGCCCTGTTGATACTGAAGGTGGTGATAACTACAAAGTGGTCACTGACGAGGTTAGGATGAGTTTTCCTATTAGATCCGCTGCGAGTTGTCTTGTCCCGAAGGTAAGGTCGAGGCGGCCGCCTAACAGGTGTGGTGTCTCCATTGTTTAGCAACTTTATCTCTGGAATATCATGTAAGGGTATTGCTGTGTGTCTGCCAGAAGCATTGGTTGCCGGGTGAGAGTGCAGCATTGGGTGATGTGCGTTGAAGTCTCCACCCACAATAATACACTCATTGCGTGGTAGCATGAGGAGCTCTGTAGAGGAGCTCTGCAATGTCGAGGGTGTGTCTCAGGTTCTTGTAGATGTTGTAAATGGGAATGGGCCCCCCAGGTATGTGTACAAAGACGGCCTGTAACTCGACATCCTCCCCACAGTCCACAGGGTTGGCTATAACCTCGTGAGGTATTGCATCTGATACGAATACCGCTGTCTCTCTGCAGTGAACACCCGCTCCATGGGCCGAAATACCCAGCAAAACCGGGGAGTCTTGGGCACATAGTTGGGACAATTAGTTTCTTGTAGCAAGATGATGTCAACCTGATCCCGAATTACTGCCTCTAGCAAGAGGTGCTGCTTGCCCCTCGGGCCCTGAATGTTCCTTTGTAGGACCTTGAGGGTGTAATATGGTACAGAAGTTATTCCATCGCTGTTGTTTCCCGAGTCCTGCTTACTCTGAAAACCTGCAAATTCATGGCATCCACCGTCTCCTCCTCAGTCAGTAAGCACACACTCAGCAGCGTGCTGACCATCTGCCGGAACACGCTCTGTTGTTCCGTGGAGTCGATTGTGTTGCAAATAATATCCGTGAACGCCTTGAGTGTACGAGATCCCCCCTGGTGAGGCCTGCGTTGGCATTGGGTTCTAAACAGTGGATTTACCTGGGCTGTTGTGGTCTGGGGGGCTGCTGGGGGTTTGGGGATTTCATTATTGTGTGCACCATGGTCTGTTGCTGTATGCCAGGTTGGGTAGTCTGCATCTGCTGGTGAGGTGCACACATATCCAGGGGAGCCTGCATAGCGGCTGCCTGCATTGTCGTGTTTTTGCGGTGGAGGCTCGCGTGGTGCCATCTGCTGATCACGTTGACCAGATGTTCCTGTTGAGCCCTTGTTCCTTCTGTTTTTTTCTTCGTTGAGGTAGGAGGGCAGGAGGCCTGTCCATGACACCTGGCTGAAGTTTGGAGGGTTGGGAGTTACTGGGCATTGAGTTAGGTGACCTGATGAGAGGTCTGCAGTATGGCAGGGTTCTTTGCCCCTATCGTCTGCTAAGAGTGATTCTCATAGCCCGCTGCCGAGTTGTTGGCATCTTCCAGGCTCTTCGAATTCTGGAGGGCCTCTCGGGGCATCGAGGTTTCCCAGGCTTGGTGTTTGTGCCTGCAGTTTGGGCATTGTGGAATGAGTGGAGAGGCATTTTTCAGCTTAGTGATGAGGTGGCCTGGCCCCTGCAGACACTGGCAGATTACTCTGTTCGGATAGAGTGCACTAGGTGTCCGTAACATGGCACTTGAAACAGCAAAACTGGTTCTGCAGTGAAGGCCCTGACATCAACACCTTTCCCAAAAACCGAGGTCCAGCTGGGATGGCAGTGGTCCTACATGCTGTATGAGGACCTGCCCGGGGTTTGGTGTGTCGCCTGCCATCTTTTCCTTGAGAGCTGCTACTGCCTCAATGGGCTCATCAGCGGGTATCGCATCACTAAAACCCTTGGTGATCTTTCGAGAATCCAGTTCCCCCAGGGTGAAGGAGCAGACTGTCTCCATGACTTTCTTCAGTGGTGTACATTTCTTTGTCGAGAGGAGTCAGTGTTGGTTCTCCATCAAGTTGAACCCTGACTTGAACCTCAGGTTGTGTCGTGATTCCAGGTGTGTAACCACGCCATAGTGGGTTCTGTGTCCCCCTAAGACTTTGCCTTGAATTTTCCAGGTCGGTTGAGCTGGTTTGCCTGATCCTTGGACGGATGGTGCTTCTTGTTGGTGTCCACAGTGATCCCTTCTTCTTGGTTCTCAGGGGATGGGGGGCTTATTCCCTCCCTGTTTCCTAGTCGTTTGGGTCCATGGTTGAAACTGGATTTGCAACAATTTTGAGCAGGCTCTTCCCCTTTTCCCCTGATGGACACGGGGTGTCTCGCAATTCTTCGCTAGAATTGCAAACCCCCCACTTCCAAATCCCAGTCCCCCATCGTGTTAGTGGAGCTTCGTTTTCCTCTTCTTTTCGGCAGAAGCCGGTTGTGCCCATTAGTTAGTCACTGGTAGGTGGATCCCAGTGGAAAAATAGGTCATACCTAAGGGGATGGGTTAGTGGTAGCAGGCAGTTGTAGTAGCTATGAAGAAGGTTATGTAGGTGTGTCTAATTTCATCTTGCCGGTAATATATACCATTTTATGTACAACTTGTCAGACACTTCAACATCATGAGAATCTTGGTTCAGAGGACATCTACATAACCTTCACAGCCCTGTCCAACCCATCCATTTTATTTTCCCAGCTGTCATACCATGCTGACATGTCTTTCAAGAAGGTATTTTATTGGGTATTTTTGTCTTTTAATTTTTTTTTTTATTATCACACTGGCGATTTCCCCCAAAGGCAGGGTGGCCCGAAAAAAAAAAACTTTCACCATCATTCACTCCATCACGTCTTCCCAGAAGGGTGCTTTACACTACAGTTTTTAAACTGCAACATTAACACCCCTCCTTTAATATAGATGTAATTTCCACATACAGGTGTATCTCGTTTGGCAGACCGAAAAACATTTCTCTGATTTTATATCAAAAAATGGTCGTGGTTTTTAAAGTTCCCGCAAGACCCATGGGACCAGTTGCCACAGATTGCATGCAATTTCCCGGCATGACTTTGTCTGTTACCTTTCTGCAGCTACACAGGTTTTCGTGGCAGGGATTATTTACAACACTTTACAACTCTCCCAACTAGTTAGTCTATTTAAATAATAAAAATATTTAGTGTTAATGTTTAACAGTTTTTTCTGGGTAGGCTGCCTAGGATAGGCTTATTATATCAAGATTTTGTTATAATATATATATATATATATATATATATATTATATATATATATATATATATATATATATATTTAAATATATATATATATAATATATATATTATATATATTATATATATTATATATATTTTAAATACTGTAGTTTGATATATATGGATTTTGTGTATTATAGTTTCAACTCTATACAAGAATCTTCCCTCCTGGTACACTTTTCGCCTAGAGCAAAAATATCAAGATATCTTTTTTGAGCGAAACCTAGCATTTTTAACCAGTCTGGGAGAAAGAATGATCTGTGACTTGTATATGTGTAGAATTAAATATACAAACATCTGGGTATCTTTATATGTAGACATTTCACAATCTAGTGCCTTTACCATTCCAGTTAACGGACATTGTCCATTATGTCCTTGAATTTGTATTGATAAACCCAACATCTACAATTAGATATCCAGATATTGCATGTGTGTCAAATTTTTCATTTTGTCGGTATTATATACCATTCATGTACTACTTGTATATGTAACTTGAAGCGTTATCTTTGACTTCAGTACGAAGCTTGAGGTATATATCTCTCTCAGCGTATATATGCTGAGAGTTTACTCAGTATTTTAGGGATTAAAATATATTCGTCTGGTTGTGAAATTGTTACTGCAACCTTTAATGACCTTAGTGTAGTTGATGGGTTTTAAATCCCATTAACCAGTAAGTGATTTCAGAAATATTACATTCACATGGTGCATGGTTGTGTTGCCATTGTTTTTCCACTTGTATTCTACCGATATGTGTTTCTTTTTGCCTCGTGTGATTGTCCTACCTGAAGTTGCCACTTTCTCTCGCCTATTCCATCACCAATATCTCGCTTTCCCTCACTGAGTTGTATCTACGTTGGCAGGACTCAGGGGTGAAGGTGCCCCGATCTATCCCGGGAGGCGAGATGGACATGGGTCATAACTGTGCCCCATCCAGGCACGGCATGGGAGTGCCACCCATGACTGTGATGTACGTCGCTGCTCGCAACCAACATTTTTCTCAACGTAAATCTACGTCACTCCCAGGACTCTCTGACGCTGCTGTCTTCTGCTGCCATGTACGTTATTACGGTAAGTTACAAAACAAACTTTGATTTAGACAACGTTTCGCTCTCTATATAGCTGTATCAATTCGTAGAACGAAACATTGTGTCAAGTTCTAAATTTTGTCCCCTCAAGGGAGGTTCCTTGATGCTGGTGAGGGACTCTTGATCTAGGGAATTGGATCTGTGCTCCGGTTCCCTGAATCGAGCCTGAATACCTTCCATCCCCACATGCGATATATAATCATACGGGTTTAGCGCTCCCCAGTGATTATAATACATTTTGGCTTCTTAGTCATACTTGTTGGAAATAATTTTTTCATCCATGGTAAGTCTTGATTTTGTGATGTCTTCAGTGGAGGTGAGGAGGGGCGAGACGTGGAGGTGAGGGGCGAGACGTGGAGGTGAGGAGGGGTGAGATGTGGAGGTGAGGAGGGGCGAGATGTGGAGGTGAGGAGGGGCGAGATGTGGAGGTGAGGAGGGGCGAGACGTGGAGGTGAGGGGCGAGACGTGGAGGTGAGGAGGGGGTGAGGATGTGGAGGTGAGGAGGGGCGAGATGTTGGAGGTGAGGAGGGGGGAGATGTGGAGGTGAGGAGGGGCGAGACGTGGAGGTGAGGAGGGGACGACGTGGAGGAGTGAGGAGGGGCGAGACGTGGAGGTGAGAGGGGCGAGACGTGGAGGTGAGGGGCGAGACGTGGAGGTGAGGAGGGGTGAGATGTGGAGGTGAGGAGGGGTGAGATGTTGGAGGTGAGGAGGGGCGAGACGTGGAGGTGAGGAGGGGCTGAGATGTGGATAGTGAGGGGGTGCAGACGTGGAGGTGAGGAAGGGGCGAGACGTGGAGGTGAGGAGGGGAAGATGTGGAGGTGAGGGTGAGGGGGCGAGAGGGGACGTGGAGGTGAGAGGGCGAGACGTGGAGGTGAGGAGGGGTGAGAGTGGAGGTGAGGAGGGTGAGATGTGGAGGTGAGGAGGGGCGAGACGTGGAGGTGAGGAGGGGCGAGATGTGGAGTGACGAGGGGCAGACGTGGAGGTGAGAAGGGGCGAGACGTGGAGGTGAGGAGGGCAAGATGTGGAGGTGAGGAGGGGCGAGACGTGGAGGTGAGGGGGGCGAGATGTGGAAGTGAGGAGGGGCAAGACGTGGAGGTGAGAAGGGGCGAGACGTGGAGGTGAGGAGGGGCAAGATGTGGAGGTGAGGAGGGGCGAGACGTGGAGGTGAGGAGGGGCGAGACGTGGAGGTGAGGAGGGGCGAGATGTGGAGTGAGAGGGGGCAAGACTGTGGAGGTGAGAGGGGCGAGACGTGGAGGTGAGGAGGGGCAGAGATGTGGAGGTGAGGAGGGGCGAGACGTGGAGGTGGTAGGAGGGGGCGAGATGTGGAGTGAGGAGGGGCAGACGTGGAGGTGAGGAGGGGCGAGACGTGGAGGTGGAGAGGGCGAGACGTGGAGGTGAGGAGGGGCGAGAGGAGTGGGGATGGAGGAGGGGCGAGGAGCGTGGGGTGAGGAGGGGCGAGACGTGGGGGTGAGGAGGGGCGAGATGTGGAGGTAAGGAGGGGAGACGTGGAGGTGAGGAGGGGCGAGACGTGGAGGTGAGGGGGGCGATGAAGCGGGGGTGAGAGGGGCGAGACGTGGGGTGAGGGGGGGCGAGACGTGGGTGCTGAAGTGAAGGGGCGAGACGTGGGGTGAGGAGGGGCGAGACGCGGAGGTGAGGAGGGGCGAGACGTGAAGGTGAGGAGGGGCAAGACGTGGAGGTGAGGGGCGAGACGTGGAGGTGAATGGGCGAGATGTGGAGGAGGCGGTGTGGGGTGAGAAGGGGCGAGACGTGGGGTGAGGAGGGGGAGATGTGGGGGTGAGGAGGGGCGAGATGTGGAGGTTAGGAGGGGCGAGACGTGGGGGTGAGGAGGGGCGAGACGTGGAGGTGAGGAGGGGCGAGACGTGGAGGTGAGGAGAGGCGAGATGTGGAAGTGAGGAGGGGCGAGACGCGGAGGTGAGGAGGGGCGAGACGTGAAGGTGAGGAGGGGCAAGACTGGAGGTGAGGAGGGCAAGACGTGGAGGTGAGGGGGCGAGACGTGGAGGTGTGGGGCGAGATGTGGAGGTGAGGAGGGGCGAGACTGGAGGTGAGGAGGGGTAAGACGTGGAGGGGAGGGGCAAGACGTGGAGGTGAGGAGGGGCGAGACGTGGAGGTTGAGGAGGGGCGAGACGTGGGGGGTGAGGAGGGGCGAGACGTGGAGGTGAGGAGGGGCGAGACGTGGGGGGTGAGAGGGCGAGATGTGGAGGTGAGGAGGGGCGAGGGGGAGTAGGGGGAGAGTGAAGGGGGGCGAGATGTGGAGGTGAGGAGGGGCGAGACGCGGAGGTGAGGAGGGGCGAGACGTGGGGTGAGGGGCAGACGTGGAGGTGAGGGGCAAGACGTGGAGGTGAGGAGGGGCGAGACGTGGAGGTGAGGAGGGGCGAAACGTGGAGGTGAGGAGGGGCGAAACGTGGAGGTGAGGAGGGGCAAGATGTCGAGGTGAGAAGGGGCGAGACGTGGAGGGGAGGAGGGGCGAGATGTGGAGGTGAGGAGGGGCAAGACGTGGAGGTGAGGAGGGGCGAGACGTGAAGGTGAGGAGGGGCGAAACGTGGAGGTGAGGAGGGGCGAGACGTGGAGGTGAGGATAGGCAAGACGTGGAGGTGAGGATAGGCAAGACGTGGAGGTGAGGAGGGGCTAGACGTGGAGGTGAGGAGGGGCTAGACGTGGAGGTGAGGAGGGGCTAGACGTGGAGGTGAGGAGGGGCTAGACGTGGAGGTGAGGAGGGGCTAGACGTGGAGGTGAGGAGGGGCTAGACGTGGAGGTGAGGAGGGGCTAGACGTGGAGGTGAGGAGGGGCGAGACGTAGAGGTGAGGAGGGGAGAGAGAGAGGTGAGGAGGGGAGAGAGAGAGAGGTGAGGAGGGAAGAGAGAGAGGTGAGGGGAGGGAAGAGAGGTGAGGAGGGGAGAGAGAGAGGTGAGGAGAGAGACGAGACGAGACGAGACGAGACGAGACGAGACGAGACGGTGACGAGGCGGGGAGATACGTGTGGTCAAAAGTCTGTTAATTAACACTTGGTCTCAGTGTTTACCTAACACTACACAGATGCCACTGAGTGTTGTGGGCCACTTCCCAGGATGAAGGAACAAGGTAACAATGCAAAACTAGACTTGTTTAAGTCGCTGTGTGATCTGTATCATATAACCCCAGCATATGCAAAAAAATCTAGGAGCTGCAGCTCAACACTTTCAACAGACCCAGGAGCTATAATTCAACCCTGCCGAGAGTTAGTAGAGAGACAAATGAAATTCTTAATTAACATTAAAATAGCTTGTAGCAGTGAGATGAAGAGTAATGAGGTGCGGGTCAATTAACGTTGCTTTAATAATAATAATAATAATAATAATAATAATATTGTGGCATGCAAGGAGTACATACCTTTATTCGGCGCATGTACACACCAATCAGCGAACCAGGGGACTGGAGGGTTGATGATGGGGCCCCATCGTTCAATCAGTACCCAGGTTCCAGCCAATGAAGAATGGTTTTGGCAATCACAGAGGTTATGTGGGTACCACTCACCTGTCTGCCCTTACCATTCCCATTCTAGAGCTGGTTGAAGCACGGTCTGCTCTCTAGTGGCTTCTATTCTGCCTTGCTTACCGTGAAGTGCACTAATACCTATTGCTGTACATAGTGTACATACTTCTGTTCTAAATTGGTGAAGGATAATATAAGCCAAAAGTTTTTCTGCTGTGTTTATTTTGCTCCCTTTACACCCAGGATAACAGGCCTTTTGGACTCCTGGGTTGTAATAAGTACCAATAAGTACAAAGGCCAAGCTGACAACAATGACATACTACTATATAGAAAGCCCCTTGTTATGCTCCGCATGTCGGGCAAATTAGGTCAGTGTCCCAGGATGCCACCCACACCAGTCGACTAACACCCAGGTACCCCATTTTACTGATGGGGAACATAGACAACAGGTGGAAAGAAACACGCCCAATGTTTCTACTCTGGCTGGGAATCGAACCCGGGCCCTCGCCGTGTGAAGCGAGAGCGTTAGCCACCAGGCCACCAGAGCCTCCTAGTAATTTCTAGCTAGAGGTTCATCTAAATTGTAGAAGCCGTTATTGTGGTCGAAACTGATATAGATAATAACAAATGCAGGTTGAAGGCATCTTCATGGTGGAAGAAAAAAGTAATAGAGCCTTCCTCTTGAAACGGGAAAACAATCTTTTGACAGTTACATGAAGCTCACTAACAAAGACACGTATGCACTGATAGAAATTTAACAAGGAAAAGGGTTTTCATAGTTTATTAAGTTCTAGAAAGCAGTGAATTGAATAAAAGAACTGGTAAATGAAATGAAGACGTTAAAAATAATGGGACCCTACAAGGAGTTTTCTTGGTTCCTGAGAGAAGAAACAGAGGCAAAAAATTCACATGTCGATTTGATCAGGTCATAGTCCTGGAAACTGGAAAATGGCAAAAATACGTTTCAGTGGGTTGGAAAAGCATTACTGAGCTATTGGTATCATGCCATCTAAGGTAACCCAGAAAATAAGAAGATTATTGGCACACCAGGTGGGTCGTTGAGTCCTAATTACAGTCAGCACTGAAAGTAAATCATGTGCTCCCAAAAATTCCTATAAAGATAAGATAAATAAAAAGGAAAATGTTTTCAGTTTTTCAAAGAACAGCTGATTGAAAATGAATGGTATGGAAAAAGCGTAAAATAATGGGACCTCAAAGGATTTTCTGATTCACCTGAAGAACAAGAAAACATTCACAAGGTCATTGTCAGTATACCTGTGAAGGGGAAAATGGCAAAAATATCGGGGAAAAGAACGACAGGTAAAGAAAAGTGGTTGGCAAATGGGTCGATGAGTCACAGACACTGAAAAAATCATTCCAAAAATTGTAGTTAGAAAAGTAAGAATAGGAGTAAAAAGAGTTCTTCACGGAAAAGACAGCTGAGGAAACATGGAGAAAACTTAAGGGAAAAAGACCCACCTGATAACTTAAAGAAAATTGAAAAAGCATATCACTTAAGGCGAATAGCAATAATAACGGAGTAGCAGTAACCATATCTGTTAAATTAAGAAGTCATTGAAATCCTAAACCAAGTAGTAGTTTCCGGAACCTGAATAGAAGAGCTAAAACAAACAACCGAGTCAAACACGTAGGTACCCAAAGGACCCTGGATAAAAAAAAGATTCCACTATTGGTTAAAAATAAAAAGTAGTGTTTCCAGACCTGTAAAAATAAGTGTCACAAGTCCTCAACAAGTAGTGTTTCCAGGACCTGTTTTAAAATCGTCTCACACTCCTGTCATAACAGTAGTGTTTCCAGGACCCTGTATATAACGTCTCACACTCCTGTCATAACAGTAGTGTTTCCAGGACCCTGTATATAACGTCTCACACTCCTGTCATAAGAGTAGTGTTTCCAGGACCCTGTATATAACGTCTCACACTCCTGTCATAAGAGTAGTGTTTCCAGGACCCTGTATATAACGCCTCCTGTCATAACAGTATGCAGCACTGCACCTGAGCAAATATATTCGATAAAACAGAGTAAGCTTAGAGTTTTGCAGAGTGACAAGTTCCTGGGCTAAGAGGAATTTCCAACGAAATTCACAACATTGAAAGGAACGAAAACATAGAATGATGCGATTTCGATGTAGCTACAAGATACTGAGAACATATGATGGGATGGACAGGGAGAGACTAGCTGAATTAAAAGATACCTGGGAATATGGGAGGTGCAGATGGAAGTCAGAAGGATGTAAGGAAGCACTTAATCAGTCTGAAATCTAAAAAGTGGAACAATTGGACGAAGAAGCTGTGGAAGCAGTTTTTATTCAGGGTTTTAAAATGTGTATTGTGAGTATTATTGGCAGATGACAGGCAATATGCCACCACTTTATTAAGACCACTGAGATGAAACGAGAGGTCAGGGATTGTTTTACTTGCCACAGGGCCAACTACACCACTGAACGAGTCATCATATAACAAACTCTAGTGTCAGGAGTTTTCCTAACTAATGCAGTAACAATAATAGTTCCGTTTCTCACTAAATTTTGTACATTACAGGTTGCCAGCTGGAGAAGTACTCAAGGAGGAGACTGGGAGGCTGCAGTATGGCGGTGGGTATTCGAATCAACAGAGCTGAGTGGGCAGTGTTCCGTCATGGTTGACTCCAGGTTACCTCCACTCCATTGTGCAAGCAATACAATAAATACAAACTTTTAAGATACATAATAATTGAAGCCACGAGATGTATTGTGTTGCTTTTACATCATATAATGACCATAAAGTTCAAATTGTATTAATTTCTTTTATAATATGAAGGATTTAATGAGAAATACATTTTTTTTATCAAATTATGCGGTGACTTTTAGATATATATGTAAATTAACTTGGAAAACAGTTGGAAAACTAACAACTGACTCATTTACTGGTTAGTTTATCACGTGTACACATCACGGTGTATCTCATAATGAGCCACGTGTAGTTAGTTTAAACACCTAACACACTAACTGGTTTGAAACACCCGTACACATCCTGTAACACAAGTTTTACTTTGTCATCGTTAAACCTGAGGCCGTTATGAAAACATTACAAACAAGCCTGGTGGTTAACGCTCTCGCTTCACACGGCGAGGGCCCGGGTTCGATTCCCAGCCAGAGTAGAAAACATTGGACGTGTTTCTTTCCACCTGTTGTCTATGTTCCCCATCAGTAAAATGGGTACCTGGGTGTAAGTCGACTGGTGTGGGTCGCATCCTGGGACACTGACCTAAGGAGGCCTGGTCACAGACCGGGCCGCGGGGGCGTTGACCCCCGGAACTCTCTCCAGGTAAACTCCAGGTAAGCAGTTTGTAATATTTGGGTCGTTTCAAATTTAGGTTAGATAAATACATGAGTGAGAGGGGTTAGATTTGTGTAGGACCTGCCTAGCATGGGCCAACAGGCCTCCTGCATGTTTCCTCCTTCTTATGTTCTTTTGTTCTTAAAGAAAATTTCATCGTTGTAAATACATTAATATAAGTCAGATCGATCAAGTGTAAGAAACTGAGAAGATTGCAAACTTGACCATAAAACACCCGAGTCGTATATACTACTGGTTCATGTGTCCAGGGGCACTACTGGTTCATGTGTCCAGGGGCACTACTGGTTTCATGTGTCCAGGGGCACTACTGGTTCATGTGTCCAGGGGCACTACTGGTTCTTGTGTCCAGGGGCACTACTGGTTCTTGTGTCCAGGGGCACTACTGGTTCTTGTGTCCAGGGGCACTACTGGTTCTTGTGTCCAGGGGCACTACTGGTTCTTGTGTCCAGGGGCACTACTGGTTCATGTGTCCAGGGGCACTACTGGTTCATGTGTCCAGGGGCACTACTGGTTCGTGTCCAGGAGCACTACTGGTTCATGTGTCCAGGGGCACTACTGGTTCATGTGTCCAGGGGCACTACTGGTTCATGTGTCCAGGGGCACTACTGGTTCACGTGTCCAGGGGCACTACTGGTTCACGTGTCCAGGGGCACTACTGGTTCACGTGTCCAGGGGCACTACTGGTTCTTGTGTCCAGGGGCACTACTGGTTCTTGTGTCCAGGGGCACTACTGGTTCTTGTGTCCAGGGGCACTACTGGTTCTTGTGTCCAGGGGCACTACTGGTTCATGTGTCCAGGGGCACTACTGGTTCATGTGTCCAGGGGCACTACTGGTTCGTGTCCAGGAGCACTACTGGTTCACGTGTCCAGGGGCACTACTGGTTCATGTGTCCAGGGGCACTACTGGTTCACGTGTCCAGGGGCACTACTGGTTCACGTGTCCAGGGGCACTACTGGTTCATGTGTCCAGGGGCACTACTGGTTCATGTGTCCAGGGGCACTACTGGTTCATGTGTCCAGGGGCACTACTGGTTCATGTGTCCAGGGGCACTACTGGTTCATGTGTCCAGGGGCACTACTGGTTCATGTGTCCAGGGGCACTACTGGTTCACGTGTCCAGGGGCACTACTGGTTCACGTGTCCAGGGGCACTACTGGTTCATGTGTCCAGGGGCACTGGTTCATGTGTCCAGGGGCACTACTGGTTCATGTGTCCAGGGGCACTACTGGTTCACGTGTCCAGGGACACTACTGGTTCACGTGTCCAGGGGCACTACTGGTTCACGTGTCCAGGGGCACTACTGGTTCATGTGTCCAGGAGCACTACTGGTTCTTGTGTCCAGGGGCACTACTGGTTCATGTGTCCAGGGGCACTACTGGTTCACTTGTCCAGGGGCACTACTGGTTCATGTGTCCAGGGGCACTACTGGTTCATGTGTCCAGGAGCACTACTGGTTCTTGTGTCCAGGGACACTACTGGTTCATGTGTCCAGGGGCACTACTGGTTCACTTGTCCAGGGGCACTACTGGTTCACGTGCCCAGGGGCACGACTGGGTCTGAACAGTGTTCCACCAGGCTATGTCCCCCTTGGGGACGTAGCCTCACCACACCATCTTGCTCCTGGTACATGTAAGAACACTCAGGTGCTCTCGTCGTCACGAAATGCTTGAAATTTCATTATTTTTTTCACACTGGTAATTTTTCATATTGTGATATCATCTGTTTACTGTGATCTCATCGCGCGTGCGCAAACCCCCTTTACTCCAATATATTATATTTTTATAATATATTATATATATATATATATTATATTATATATAATAATATATATATTTATATATATATATATATAAAGGTCTTCATTAGTCGCATTCAGAAAGTCTCACTGTATAGACAATTTACAAGAAGTTACAGTTCTGATTGTTTTAAGGTGACAGTGTTAAGTTTTATGAACTAGGAAATGGAGATTTGCTGATTTTTCTTGAATCGGTTAATCAGAATGGGATCAAGGTTTAGTATATAAAACATGTATTTTCTAAATGTTAACAATTTTCTCTCTTTTCAGTGACTAGTGATGTGACACCATAATTAACCTCCCATGAACAACAGTGATGTGACACCATAATTAACCTCCCATGAACAACAGTGATGTGACACCATAATTAACCTCCCTTGAACAACAGTGATGTGACACCATAATTAACCTCCCATGAACAACAGTGGTGTGACACCATAATAACACCTCCCATGAACAACAATGGTGTGACACCATAATAACACCTCCCATGAACAACAATGGTGTGACAACATAACACCTTCCATGGACAACAGTGGTGTAGCAGCATAATAACACCTCCCTTGAACAACAATGGTGTGACAACATAACACCTTCCATGGACAACAGTGGTGTAGCAGCATAATAACACCTCCCTTGAACAACAATGGTGTGACACCATAACACCTTCCATGGACAAGAGTGGTGTAGCAGCATAATAACACCTTCCATGGACAACAGTGGTGCGACACCGTTATAACACACCCGACGCTCCACCACCTCCCATGGACAACAGAATGGTGTTAGCACCATAACAGAATTTTCACAACCTCCCATGGACACTAGTGTCGTAACACCATAGTAACAGAGCAGAACTTTCAAGGGCAGGGCCATAGAAAAATAAAAAAAACCTAATTAACCCATCTTTATGATGTATTAAGCATCAAGGAAATGGTCCGTGAAATTTTTGCTGTAAATTTCACGAAGTTTGGTCAAACAGCGACTCTGGCAGACAAAAAATAATTACATTGGGACTTTATGGAAGCTTCCAGATTGGAAATATCGTGAAAAAGAAACCCAGTTGGCGTCCGGACTTGCGCATGTGTCAACTGTGGCCGTTGAAAAGTAATGAAATATTTCTCAAAGAAAAAACTATAAAAATGAGACTGATATTATTTCGATATTCATTTACAGAACCATCTTCTCTCAACATCACATCCTGAAGATTCAAAAATATTGCTCTATTGATTTTTTTCATGATATCGCAATAAAAGAGCTACTGTAGCTCTATCTGCAAGAGCGCAAGATAGCGCGCTGGAAAGAGTGCTGTTCCTGGCTTCCAGGACTAGGTACATACAGTGCTTGACAGCGCGTTGTTACTGCTGCTGAGGCAAAGTGCTCATGGCTGCCAATATGAGGTAGTGTTTGAGAGAGTGTTACTGGCTTCCGGGGCGAGGTAAAGTGCTCAAGAGAGTGTTCCTGGTTGCCAAGGTTAGCACTTAGGAGGATGTTCTTGAATGTTCCTCGACGCTTGAGTGTTTCTTGCTGCGTGTGCGAGGTACAGCACCTGAAAGGGTGTTCCTGGCTGCTTGATTGTGTGTTCCTGGCTGCTTGAGTGTTTCTGTTTGCTTGAGTGTGTGTGCCTGACTGTTGAGAATGTTCTTGCTTGAGTGTTTTTGACTGGTTGAAAGTGTTCCTGGCTGCATGAGTGCTCCTGCCTGTTTGAGAGTGTTCCTGACTGAATGTGTGTGTTCCTGGTTGTTTGAATGTTCCTGACTGCTTGAGAATGTTCTTGTGTTCCTGACTGAAAGTGTTCGTGGCTGCATGAGTGTTCATGCCTGTTTGAGTGTGTTCCTGACTATCTGAATGTGTGTGCTCCTGGTTGCTTGAGTGTTCCTGGCTGCTTGTGTGTTCTTGGCCGCTTGAGAGTGTTCTTGGCTGCTTGAGTGTGTTCCTGGTTGGTTGAGTGTGTTCTGGTTGGTTGAGTGTGTTCTGGTTGCTTGAGTGTGTTCCTGGTTGCTTGAGAGTGTTCCTGGTTGCTTGAATGTTCCTGGTTGCTTGAGTGTTCCTGGTTGCTGGAGAGTGTTCCTGGTTGCTGGAGAGTGTTCCTGGTTGCTTCAGAGTGTTTCTGATTGCTTGAGAGTGTTCCTGGTTGCTTCAGAGTGTTCCTGGTTGCTTGAGAGTGTTGTTGGAGTGTTCCTGGTTGCTTGAGTGTGTTTCTGGTCGCTTGAGTGTGTTTCTGGTTGCCTGAGAGTGTTCCTGGTTGCTTGAGTGTGTTCCTGGTTGCTTGAGTGTGTTCCTGGTTGCCTGAGTGTGTTCCTAGTTGCCTGAGTGTGTTCCTGGTTGCCTGAGTGTGTTCCTTGTTGCCTGAGTGTGTTCCTGGTTGCTTGAGTGTGTTCCTGGTTGCTTGAGTGTGTTCCTGGTTGCTTGAGTGTGTTCCTGGTTGCTTGAGTGTGTTCCTGGTTGCTTGAGTGTGTTCCTGGTTGCTTGAGTGTGTTCCTGGTTGCTTGAGTGTGTTCCTGGTTGCTTGAGTGTGTTCCTGGTTGCCTGAGTGTGTTCCTGGTTGCTGAGTGTGTTCCTGGTTGCCTGAGTGTGTTCCTGGTTGCCTGAGTGTGTTCCTGGTTGCCTGAGTGTGTTCCTGGTTGCCTGAGTGTGTTCCTGGTTGCTTGAGTGTGTTCCTGGTTGCTTGAGTGTGTTCCTGGTTGCTTGAGAGTGTTCCTGGTTGCTTGAGTGTGTTCCTGGTTGCTTGAGAGTGTTCCTGGTTGCTTGAGATGTGTTCCTGGTTGCTTGAGAGTGTTCTGGTTGCTTGAGAGTGTTCCTGGTTGCTGAGAGTGTTCCTGGTTGCTTGAGAGTGTTCCTGGTTGCTTGAGAGTGTTCCTGGTTGCTTGAGAGTGTTCCTGGTTGCTTGAGAGTGTTTCTGGTTGCTTGAGTGTGTTCCTGGTTGCTTGAGAGTGTTCCTGGTTGCTTGAGATGTTCCTGGTTGCTTGAGAGTGTTCCTGGTTGCTTGAGAGTGTTCCTGGTTGCTTGAGTGTGTTCCTGGTTGCTTGAGTGTGTTCCTGGTTGCTTGAGAGTGTTCCTGGTTGCTTGAGAGTGTTCCTGGTTGCTTGAGAGTGTTTCTGGTTGCTTGAGAGTGTTCCTGGTTGCTTGAGAGTGTTCCTGGTTGCTTGAGAGTGTTCCTGGTTGCTTGAGTGTGTTCTGGTTGCTTGAGAGTGTTCCTGGTTGCTTGAGTGTGTTCCTGGTTGCTTGAGAGTGTTCCTGGTTGCTTGAGTGTGTTTCTGGTTGCTTGAGAGTGTTCATGGTTGCTTGAGTGTGTTCCTGGCTACACCTGACTGGAGACATGGGAGTTGCCAGTCTGTAAATTACACAAATAACGTATATTTTATAACTTTCAAACATTACTTAGAGATGAACCAAAAAATAATGAAGTCTAAAACTCTCCCATACAAGGTATTTCATAGATTATCTCTGATAATTTAGTTTTTATTTTTTTTTTCAAAATTTTTATTCTGGATGGAACATTGTCTAAAATGTTTCTCACCCATAGAAGATATATCACTGACTTTCATTTATTTCATTTATTTTCGAAAGTTTTCATCCAATTTGTTGTTCTATGGCCCAGGGGATATGACCGTCTCCCATATACTAGGCTGCATCAGCTCTCCCCCCCTCCCCCCACCCTCCCTTTCATGCATCACACCACACTCGTGTATTCTCTGTATAATACAAGTACAGGTCTTGTACAGAGATGTGCATTTTGTAATCACCACAGATTCAAGGAGATATTTTTAATATAACCTCATCAGTCGTGTAAATACAGAGGCTCAGTCTGATGTTTGTATCAACGCACCAATGTTAGTGCACCGTTACCTTTAATTGTATCATGTATACAACTTGGCTACCAATAAATGTTAGTCACCCTACTTGTATTTTTATTTTCATGAAATATTATAATAAATTATAGAACATATATGTAAAATTGGCCTGGCGACACTGGAAGACAGGAGGGTCAGGGGAGACATGATAACGACGTATAAAATACTGCGAGGAATTGACAAGGTGGACAAAGACGGGATGTTCCAGAGATGGGACACAGAAACAAGGGGTCACAATTAGTAGTTGAAGACTCATATGAATCAAAGGGATGTTAGGAAGTATTTCTTCAGTCATAGAGTTGTCAGGAAGTCGAATAGTCTGGCAAGTGACGTAGTGGAGGCGGGAACCATACATAGTCTTAAGACGAGATTTGATAAAGTTCATGGAGCAGGGAGAGAGTGGACCTAGCAGCAAACAGTGAAGAGGCGGGCCAGGAGCTATGAATCGACCCCTGCAAGCACAAATAGGCGAGTAGAAATGGGTGAATACAAAAGTACAATACAGCTCTCGGAGCAAGGAGAAAAATGGACCTAATAGCAACCAGCGAAGAGGAGGGGCCAGAACTATGACACGATCCCGTAACCACAATTAGATGAGTTCACACAAAGGGCTCCAATTTCAAAGGAGCTGGAGCTACGCTCTCTTTCCTTGCATTAAACCTTATTACCTGGTTCATGACTCACGAAATCGTAATGACACGATTGCAAACAAACCATACCTTCCTATGGTTTATAAATATACCTAGTTGGGTTAGTTTCATTGTAACCAGCTGGCCAGTGGCTAGCGCGTCGGTCTGGAGTTTTATGACTCTCTGATCGCAGGTTAAATCCCCGCCCGTGGTATGGTCTCTCATTACGTGGTATCCCTCAGGCATTGCATCACCCCTCCAGGTTCAACGTTCGTCAGTGGTTATGATACAAGCGGCCGCCGGGAAGTACTGTGGTAGGTAAGGTGTTGAGATTATTATCATCATGGGAAAGCGCTAAAACCGTGAGATTATACAGCGCCTGTGGGGGGATGGAAGGTATTCAGGCTTAATTAATTTTATCGACAATAAATTGACATGGAGATTAAATGTATAAAGAAGCCTTGATAATGTTTTGTGAAGAAGGGAGAGGTAACAAGCAGTCAATGTATATACACCGAGAGGTGTATATACCTGGGTATATACACTGATAGTTGGCTTTAATTTCCGTTTTGGTGACTGAAATATTCTTGACAGGTAATGAATGAGTTTCATGCATCCGTGATGACTCATGTATTCGATGGCCTTTGGATCCAATTTTCCAACCATCCAACCAGTCAGTCAGTCAACTGTGGGCATGGAGAGGGAGTCACACTTGTCAGCGGTGCTACTGACAGTGATCCACCAACTGCCAAGGTGCTTCAACCGGGGAAGATTCAGTGGTCAGTGGGATTTTTGTTTTTCATGGTGTGCGTGCGTTCGATTTTTTGCGTTTGTGTACGTCGAGGTTAATAGTAAACACACTGAATTGTTCCTGCGATCCGGGACTCAGAGTTTACTTAGTGATTGAGCGGACTTAGTTTTCAAGAGTTAAGTGTTTGTTAAAATGACAAGAGTTGACCACTCTTAAGAAAAGACGAGAATTGTGCACTCTTCTGGGCCCCTGACACAGGTAAGGTGTTCATTACTCTTATTTCAAGGTGCGTCATCGTCTTACGTTTCTGTGATTTGTTAACTCTGGTAGGGGTAAGGGTGTCATAGTGGCGTATTATAATTATGGGGAGAGCTAAACCCGTAGGATATATAGCGCATTTGGGGTGGGGGGGATGGAAGGTATTCAGGCTCAATTCAGGGAACCGGAGCACAGACCCAATTCCCTAGATTAAGAGCCCCTCCTTGAGGGTCATAGTGACGTTATGTTAGGCGTTTTGATAAAGTATTTAGTGAGAATACTGAGTGTTTATTCTAGGGATGTAATGTTTATTACTGACCCACAGGTAATGTTACACTAACATACCTGTACTTAACGATTTTGTAATTCGTCCGTAATTTATTTCCCTTAGTTAACATTAGTTTTTAATAAGCTATATATTTTACTTGTCTCATTAAAGTGGATTAACTGGTTAAAACTTAAATGATCTTAGTAAAGGGTATAGAGCATAAATTTCATCAATTTTTTTTATAATTATTTTCACGACTTTTTTTTAAGGAATGCATGTCATGTCACACCCGTCTTATACTAAAAAAAACATACCACGGGCGGGGTTTGAACCCGCGATCAGAGTCGCAAAACTCCAGACCGACGCGTTAGCCATTTCGTGATTATAATAATTATTGGCAGATGTAAGTTGACGAACAAGAAAACTCTTAACGTTTTGAGAAAATAGCATTTGTGTTCATTACTCAGAAATGTTTGCTATAAATTATCTTAGAATGAGTTGCGTGCGCTGAGTATGTTGGAATTTATTATTCCACGTTCATGACACAACCGCTGGCATGCCCTCCCGACCAGCCGCTGGCATGCCCTCCCCACCAGCTAACTGGAAATTCAGGATACAGTAGTTCTGGGGCCCTATTGTTATATTAATTGTCCAGTAATTCTGGCTCCCACTACCGTATTAATTATCCATTAGTTCTGGTCCCCCACTGCCGTTTTAATTGTCCATTGGTTCTGAAGCTCCCACTGCTGTATTAATTGTCCAATTTAACCAACCACTAGCGTGAGAGCTGTCCTGCCGACCCAGGTGTTACCATATCTGACCATCTGACTGTGTCACACTCAAACTGTTCCTGCCCACTCATCCTTTGTCTTGTATTCCGAAGAGTAACCTGCTAATATGGGTGGCTCTTATCTCTCTGCCTTACTGATATACTCCTGATTTAACTTGGTAAATACTGTGGACAATGGTGAAGGACTATTACGGATAAAGACAAACTTCACAGTGTGTGTGACTTGCCCATGTTTGCTAAGTTACTCATTAATTGTTGTCAGTAGTTAAGGTCAGGTGCAACAGTCCTTGAATTTGCTACTTGTGTACGTACTACACCTGTAATAGTTAATTACTTTTATAGGAGAGAGATGTGAAATAGACCAACAAATCTTTTGGTATACAATACAGACAAGATCAAGATTTTTTTTTTTTTATTTTATTTAAAAACTTTACAGCTTGGATATTAAATAAAGATATAAAATGGGTACAGTAGGATCCTCAATCCTACAGAACATACACTAACCAATGATTAACAACACATTGTAATTGACATAAAAGAGGTTACCCATATACACTCACAAAATTTTCTATATAACATACTATGATAAACAATATAAACTATAACTATATAAACTATATAAAATATAAACTATATACAACTTTCAGATTTGTATAGTTAACATATTATGACTGACATATGACAAAGGTTCACTACCTTCGCAGGAGATAATCAGAGTAATAACCTACATCACAATCTCAGTTAAACAATTACATGCTCTTCCCACAATTAACCCCTATACAATAAGAAGTACCTAAGCACATACATACGTGCCTCACTACAATCTCTCTTTAAGCATTAAAAAAAAAAAAAAAAAAAAAAAAAAAATCCTAGGCCTCACACTTATACTAAATAATATTAACAAATATTACTAAATATTACTACAGCCTCTTCCAACGCCTGAGCACATTATATAAAATCTGAGACTAAACCGTACTGTCCCATTACAAACTTTTAACGAGGCATTACAATTTATGGAAGTCATTAGCGTTCCATCTCGCAGCAACTGGATGAGCACATTATATAATGCTAAAATAAAGACAGTACACTCGCTAAAAACCCACAACACTCGACACAAACATAATTTAAATAACCTCTCATTGCGATACAATTATCGCACATGAAATATGCCCAATAAAGGCTATAAACGCG